GCAAAAGGAACATAAGAAGCATGATGAACAGGAAGAAAAAGTTAAATATATTAAATGGAAAAACAATTTAATAAGCATTATAAGAAAGTAAAAGAAAAGGAACAAATAACTCTTTTAACTTTGTATGTGTCTTTTGTCTCGCAAACGCAAAATTAAGAAGCCTTTTTAATTTGTATATCTTCGACACAAACACCAGGCCATATGATATAACCATTGACGAGTCTTCATCAAGCTACCGTCTTCATCATCACAAACCTGTTAAACACCCTTTCAACACCATACACACACAAACAAGAGGAGGCTAATTAGTAAGGAATTAACTAACTTAGATAACAACCAATTGTGAAAATAATATCATAAAATCAGAAATTAATCTCACAAAATCAAAACAGGAACAACAAGAAGAAGAAAGGCATGTATAATAATGATAACCACAACTTCCAAGCACCAGGTTCATAACCGGCTCGTTGGGCCGCCCACTACAGTACGACATCAACAACATCGCCTCTAACACCGCTGCTACAGCGTCCCCCATTCTCGATCTCTCTCTGTATCCCCCTCGTGTTATCCATGTTGTTTGCTTGACTAAGAGAAAGTGAAACATTATTGTAGTTGAAATCGATCAGGATTTAAAGAGGGAACCACTGTATGTAACTGAAGTTTAGACCGGGGATGAGGTTACTACAACATGAGATGACGATGATGAACATATTTTGGTGGTATGCGGATGATAGAGGCGGCTTTGTCAATGAAACCCTAGGTATACAAGAGAGAGAGGATGAGAAAGATGGGAAAATGAAAGAAAATACGAGAGATTGAGAAATTTTAGGAATTACTAAAGTTGTAATTATTGTTATACCCTTTTGATAATTTTAAAGTTACACTTTAATGCCAGTAGTCTAAGAATTTACATAAATGGTCCGATTAGGAATAGCCTTAGATCTAGATATTTACATGGTATAGATTTGTTCTCGCATTCTCAACCTTTTAGGTATTCTCATTTGATCCTACTCCTATATATATATATATATATATATATATATATATATATATATATATATATATATATATAATATTTTATCTTGGTCTAACAAAATGAATTGAATATGAAGATTATTTGTCGAATATGAACCAAAACTTTTTGAATTATTTATTGTGAAATAATGTATGAATATGTGTCTTTTACCTTTTAAACTATTCTAACCGATGGATACAACTGCACAAATAGTCTTTATGGTTAGTTGAAAATTGCTACTTTGGTCCAAAAAGGTTTGGACTAGCACCAGAGTTCCAAACTTTTCATTTTGTTGCGGGTTTGGTCCAGTTTGCTTTGAACTTTTTTATAATGACGAATTTGCCCTTGCTTTTTCAGTTTTTTTTATTTATTTAAATATTTTTATAATTAAAAGAAAATAAAAATCCAATTACTCTTTCTTTCTCTCTCTCTCTCTCTCTCTCTCTCTCTCTCTCCTTGAACCAAAAATCTACAACAAAGAACACAACCTAACCATGGCTTCCCACCATACACATCTTCTCACACAGTGGACCATGAATCGCTAACACACACACACACACATCTCTCGATCTCTCCGATAATCGATCTCTCAAAAAACACATATGCCGTCAAATCGATCTCTCAGAAAACCCATCTATATGAATCGATTTTCAATCCATATATATAAACGACTGTGGTGGTGTTTTGGCTCAATCAAATCGTCAGTGGTGTTACAACAATTGTTGTCGTGTTCCGATTAACATCCCTACATAAAGGAGGCGACCATCTTCTGATTTGAAGATGAAGGTCGATGATGGTTTGGTTGCGATGAAGGGTGAAGGCTTTCGGCCTGTCAAGATGATGGTGAAAATACGATTTGTTGTATACTTCACTTAAGAATAAATCAAATTTTCTATTACAGCCAAGCTGTCGCAACCCCAAATCCATTTCCTCAACATCACCGAAGCACCACTATCAAAGCAATTAGGGTTCTTAAGAACATATTAGAAATTAGGGCTCGTCACTATCTCTCAAGCTTTTCTTCGTTTGCTTCATCATCTCCAAACAGATAGAAGAGACGAACTCAAACATATGTCCTCAATTTCTGAATATCAACCCACCGATCGTTTTCTTTTCTTTTTTGAAGACACCTACAAATCAGATGCGAATGAGAGATTGGGATAGAGAATATGAAGGTGGATGAAGAAGGGGATGTGTTCTTCAAAAAAATTCACAGACCTCTCATTGTTTTTGGATTGAATGTGGTTCACAAAGAAGATGATGAATAGTGGATCCCCCAATAAAATGTAAACCCTAACGGCTTCTGTCTTCTGTGCCTGTTTTATACCCCAAAACGAATCAAAAATAGGGTCCGTCTTCTATCTTCTAAATTTGTGGTGCTCGAATCTTGTTGTGTTCTTGCTTGTTGGGAAGACATATGGATTAACGATAAATGTTGTTGGTTTCATCGATTTCAGATCATCATTTTTTATGGTTTGTTGGGAGAAGATAAGTTGGGTTAGCTTCGTATAGGAGAGAGAGAGAGAGAGAGAGAGAGAGAGAGAGAGAGAGACAGAGAGAGAGACAGAGAGAGAGAGAGAGAAATTGGTTTTTTATTTTCTTTTAACTATAAAAATATTTAAATAAATATAAAAAAATATGAAAAAGCAAGGGCAAATCCGTCATTATAAAAAAGTTCAAAGCAAACTGGACCAAACCCGCAACAAAATGAAAAGTTTGGACCTCTGCTGCTAGTCCAAACCTTTTTGGTCCAAAGTAGCAATTTTTAGCTAACCACAGGGACCATTTGTGTAGTTTAGCCTATTTTTTATCTTTTAAAATGTTTTTTTATAAGGTTTTATGATCTCGATCTTAAAAAAACGAAAAACGATTCTATATTAATCTTGATATTAACAACCTTAGGATAAACAATACCAAAAACTTTTATTTAACCATCAAACTTAAAAGTTATGGATGAATTTGCGCTCATTGTGAAGATTGAGAGCCAAAACGGCTAACGTTTCTTATCAAAAGGATTGTAGTACAATGAAAAGAAACAAAGCTATAAATAGAAAACAATTTGGGCAAACATATCTACGAAAAAAACACATAACTTAAAAGGCTAAAAAAAACAGTATAAATACATGCTAATAATGTAAACATATATGACTCCTTCAATCGGTTACCCGATAATTAGGCAAGATGCTTTTTGTAAATATAATAACGTAGTATCTAAAAAAGTTTTCAACATAAGTATAATTATTAAAAATTATATTGTTATACCATGATTTATACCCGAACATTCAATAATAATCATGTAGTCGTCACTTTCATGTAAGTGCACTTCAATGCATGTTTTCTTTTAAAAAACAACCATGTCCTTATTTCAAGCTTTCACGACATTTGTAACCACAATTGTAAAATGTTCAAGATTCACATATATCGCGTGACAAAATTATATTAAAATGTAACAAATGCAGTAGAGAATAAAATATATTCTTAACAAGCCTGATTTAACACGATTTATAATAAAATTAGAAAAACCATAAAACAGTATATTTTTAACAAGTCCAATTTAACACGATTTATAATGAAAATAGAGAAACCATAAAACATAATAATTTTAAAATTATGGGTTGCTTGTAAACTCTGTAATTACACTTAAATAAAAAAAACACATCTGTTTAAAGTTTATTTCCAGACTACAATATTATTTTTTTTCATCAAAATGATGCAATATTTTTACAAATTGCTATTCATATTTAAAATAATTCACCAATATTTACACCACATATAATATTTTGTATATTTTTTTTTCTAATTTTAAATATCTTCAATAGTACCTCTTATATTTAATGGATTATTATAAATTTATCTTATATTTTATTTTATTATAACTGTATGAATATATTAAAAAGAGAGTGTTGTGTTTGATGGCGAATGTGTTAATCCATAAATATATTATTAACTAAACGAGGTCAGGAATGTGTATTTGTGCACAACTATTACTTCAGTGTGCACAAAACAAAAGTGTATATGTAGACACTCTGTATATGTATGTCTTTTTCTAATATATTTATATACGTACGTCTTAATGTATATTTTTTTTATTTAAGTTGGCAGAAAATATTTTATTCACGTTTTCTTGACACAATAAGTTCTAAAAAATTCAACTAAGCAATCTATTTCTTTAGCGTAAAAATTACAATTCCAATCCATTTACTTATTATTTAATTTATATTCACAGTTACATTTTATAAAATAATGTGTCAAGTTGATAAAAATGTTATATTTTTTAGCAAGGTTATGTTTGACAACCTATGGCTGGCTAACCTAATTTATTTTTTGAGTTTGTTTTTATGTTATCATGTTTGGTAAGTCAGTAGTTTATAAGCTAGTTTTTTAAAAAATTATTTAGACTAACTTTTTATGAGCCTTTTTAAAATTTCATTTTATATCATTATATATATATTTCAGTTAGTTTTAGCAAATGTAATTTTTTATCAGCTATTTTTCAACTATCAGTTAAGTTTTTAGTTAGTACGTCATAGTCTAAATAAGTTATATAACTTGATAAATTATTTTGATTTAAAAAGGTAAATCACTTTTACAATTCTTGCATTAATATTTTATTACTTAATAAAAATTAAAGACACCTAATCAAGCTCATCCCATACCAAAAATACATGATTTGATCCTAATCCATTGTGATTTCACATAAAAGGGGGAGAAAATATATTGGAAGAGAGAGAAGATTTGATTTTATTTCATTTCATTTGATCATTTGATATATTGATGAAGTCAAGAACACACACATGTGGGGGTAGAGAAGAAAAAGTGAAAAAAAATAACAAAAAATCAAAGGGGTCACCACCAAAGTGGATTTCAGAATCTCAGCGTATTTTCTTAAAAAATTAAAGTAGATTTCATCAGATTTTCATGATCTTCTACAATGTCATCATCTCTTTGATGGAGACGTGGCTCTCTGTCGTCTCCATTTATATATCAAAAATTCCTTTCTCAAATCCTTATCCCACCAATTCCTCCACTCATGGCAAGAAACGCTTTGTTTTCAAGACGATGGAGGTCATCATCCGAGACCACCACCACCGAATTTGATGATGTTCATGTTCTTGCTGTTGATGATAGCCTCGTTGATCGGAAAGTCATTGAACGTTTGCTTAAAATCACCTCATGTAAAGGTAGATTTCATTTTCAGCTTCATTTCTCTCGTATTCTGTTTTTCCGCCGGAGAAATGATCGGCTGACGGAGTTTTTTAAAATTGTGACAGTCACGGCGGTGGAAAGCGGTTGGAGAGCTTTGCAGTACTTAGGCCTTGATCAAGAGAAATCCTCATCTGATTTCGTCAATGTGAGATTAATTCTCATATCGTTTTCGATTTTGAAGGTTGGAATATCTATAGATCTAAAATAACACTTGGAGTTCTTTCCACAAATTTGTTCAGGAATTGAAGGTGGATCTGATAATCACTGATTACTGTATGCCTGGAATGACTGGTTACGAATTGCTCAAAAAAATCAAGGTTCGTAATCCCTAATTCGTTACATTTTCGTTTCAATTTTTCTATTCATGTTCTTATTTTCTTCTTCCGATTGTTTGGTGATTCAGGGATCAGCAACTTTCCGAGAGGTGCCAGTAGTGATCATGTCGTCAGAAAACGTTGTAGCACGGATTGACAGGTACTGTTTTTCTCCATTTCTAGTAAACGACAACTGTTCATGGAAGATCATTAATAAGTTTCTTACTTCATTCAATTGCTATCATATTCATCTTCCCCTTCATCACACGACCTGATTGAAATAGTTTTTAATCGTGAATTTAGAATCCGAAAATTTGAATAGAGAAATGTCATCATTTTCAGGTGCTTGGAAGAAGGTGCGGAGGATTTCATTGTAAAGCCTGTAAAACTTTCCGACGTCAAACGATTGAAAGATTACATGTTTGGTGAAAACCGAGGAACAATCCCTGCAAATAACATCAACAACAAAGAAGAAAAAGGAAGTCTCAACAAAAGAAAACTTCAACAAATGTCTGAAGCTTCCCCTTCCCCTTCTCCTTCTCCTTCCCCTTCACCATCACCATCGCCATCGCAATCGCCATCGCCGCCAACGGTGTCTCCGTCCGCCTCCCTATTGCCGGCGACGGTGTCACCCGTAACATCCCCATCTCCGCCGACGGTCTCTCCCTCAACTTCCCCATCTCCGCCACAATCTCCGTCGACATCATCATCGTCATCAACGCCTCCGAGCTCACCACCCTTTTCTCCGTCACAACTAGAATCCCCAACAATGCGGCTTAAGGTGACCAACTCCGATCACTCCGATCAAGCCTAATATTTTTCAATTTTCCCTTTTGATATTTTCATCTTTTATTAATTACATCATAGACAAGTAAGGCAAGTACTTGTACATTTAAAAGTTGTTTTTTTTTCTCCTTCCATGGCTGCTTGTCCACTTCTTCTTCAATGAATTTACAGATATTACAATTTTGATATGATTCTAAATTTCTAATGTATTTCATTTTTAGGGTAAATTATGAATCAGGGTAAGAAAGTTTTGTAACAAACATGTAAAATGTCAATTTTACCCCTACCCGATGTGAAAAAATTTCTTAATTTTATAAATATACACAATTGAAATATTTTCACAAATTAGATTGAATAACTATTGATTTTTAGAAGAATAGTTATTGTTGAGCTAATTTCCTAAACAAGTATGGTTGAAAAATGATGGAATTACTTGTTTTTGGTTTTGTAAAAGTGGGTTGTTTTTATTTCTTTTAAGCTTTTGGCTGACAATATGATTGTTATTATTTAAATAGAAGGGATAATAATAAAAAAATAAATAAAAAATAAAAGAAAGGAAAAAAGATGAGTGGAAACAACTCAACAAGATTTAAAGGAAGGAAATTAATAATTGAGAATTGATTTGATGAAGATATGGTTTTATTTCATGTCCCAATCTTGTCTGGTAAGAAGGAATATTTTTTGATTTGGCAAGAGGGAGAGAAAGAGAGAGAAAGAGTGTGTATATGTTTGGCCAACTTTCCATGATTTGTTTCTCTCTTTCCTTTGATCTTATTTCCAAAACAAAATATTTTGTTAATTGTATAAAAAGATTAATTTTTCAGTTAAACTTTTAGAAGATTTATTAGGTGTAAGACTGAATATTATACGGATTGACTAAATATTAAAATTTAAATAATAAGTATTTTTTAAAATAAAATTTTGAAATAAGGAATAAATAAACATATTAATTATAATTTACTATCGTATTTATTACATTTAATATTCAAGTATTATGTGGTTTTTTAATTTTAAAATTTGAAAAAACCTTTAAATTGATAGGTAAATATTATTTATTTAAAAAAAATCATAAAATGACAAGTGTCAAAATTGATAGGAGATTGACAAATAGTAATTATTTTTATTTATTAGGATGAATGAAATGATACCTTCTCATTTTAGGGAATTTTTTTTTCTTTTCTTGAAATCGTATGATGATTGAAAAAAAAAAGGAGTTGAAAGCCAAAAATAAGAATGAAATTATTTTGTCACGTTAGATGTGCCAAAAAGCAATGACATTTGAAACTTCAAAACCGGCGAAAAAATCGTAAAGTATAACTACATCAAACGTCTCTTGCGCAACCTTGCTACATCTATGATTTTGTATTGGAATTGTATAAAATAACCAACAATGTTGCTCCAAACAACTTGAAACTTTAACCTTTTTAAATCATTTTATGGATGTACAACCCTCAAATCTAACAAAATCCCCTCTAAAATCATTGAACAACCAAAATAAGTGTAGCCCATAACTCATTTGGTTCAATTAAGAATCTCCATATCAAACAACTTAACCGATTTGCCAACAATTTTGTAGTAATCGTATATTGGCATCCAATAAGGCTAAATCAATGAGTCAACAATCTATTTAAAACAACAAATAGTAGCTTTTGGAATCAAAGCTATGAAGGAAGAATTAGATCCTCTACGAAAATCTTGAAAGGTTTTCACAAAATAAACTACATTCGGTTCGAGCAGATTCCAAATTAATGAACTTAAATGTAACTCCATCAAGTCCTAGGGATTCATCCCCACGGAGCTTCAAACTAATCGCCTAAAGCTTTTGGTGTTGCATCTAATTAATTGTCGTCTCCAAGAATAATCTGAATTGTAAATGTATAACGCTTATTAATAATTCTTAAAACTTTTTTTAATAATTTTGAATGGTTTTTTAAATATATTTGAGATTGCTTTTGATATCAATAATCTTTCAAGAGTTTTGATTCTTTTATATACAACTTTATATTAATTCTTATGAATTCTACAAAGTTCAATGGAATACATTTTTAATAATTAATAATTTTCGTTTTTCGAATTGAAGAGTTCAATGAACATTGAACTTCATATTCATTAAATACCAACATAACATCCTACAATGGTAGAGTTTAATCAACTGAATGTCAATTAGTTATATCACTTTATTCAACTCTCTAATTAAACTATGTATTATGGATGGTTATATATATGTTGGCAAATGTAATTCAATATATTAGTTGTGCAAATTCTACATTATAAATGTGGGTTTTAACGATTCCATTCTCGTTAATATACCAAAAGATTTGTTTCGCTTTATTTCAATGTAATTTCTACCCTATCTTGAGCTTTATCCTAAAAATACCATGAGCTAGAATAAAATACTCGATCAAATGTCTTAAATAAGTCTCCACTTTAAGGTTTTAATAATGATTTGAAAGGTGTTGGGGCATGAAAGATGCTTCTACTGCGAAAGATGTCCTCAAAGTTTTTAAAAAAGGACATTTCTAGTAAGTGTATTTGGAAAAGTTTATGTCCAAATTCGTCTTTTTGGACCATAAAGATCCACAAAAATAATTTGCAACATATTTAATGATCACAAAGTATTACACTTTTTGAATCAAGTCTTTAGAAGACCCGCCTAATAAATATAATTAGACATTATTGATAGGAATACATTGATTGGAAATAAGCAATATGACCAAAATGTCCATATCAAAATGGGTCTCATTTTTAAGATCTTGCAGCCACCAAAAAATATTGACAGTATCAAATATATTAGTTAGGAGTCATTGATGTCATTTAGACTCAAACATGTGGCAAGTGTATTTAAAAAGTTAAAGTCTAAATCTATCATTTTTTACATCTAGTAAACACGAGAAAACAAATTATAACAAACGTATTTAATGATGATAATAACCTTATGATTAGTTGTTTGTGGGACCAAATTATAACAAACGTATTTAAAACACAATATATGGCCACAATTTAGTCAGGTATGCCTAGAAGGCTAGAACGAAGATAAAATAATCAACCACGAGTGTTCATTTTAAAACATATATGGACCTTAAAGATGAGGATAATTTATTTGAATGGTGCTAAAAGCTTATATACGTTCCACCAAATATGCTCTCCAGGTCAAAACCTGTTTATAGTAAAAGGCATCATAATTTTTTTTTAAATAGCTTGCAATCATTGACTAGGGATTTCCAATTATGACTTTGCGCTAAAAGTCTCGTTTTCCCTAAAAAAAGGGGGAGGGGAGGGGGGTTGAAGTTAGATTTTTTTTTAAACGATAAATAATTTAAACATCTTTTCTGCCTGTAGTAACAACCTCCATTTAGCCAACTGGGCTAGCCCCAACTTGTTGAAGTTGGATTCTTAATTACCAATTCTGTTCGATTTGAGATTTTGACAATTAAGGTGGTGCAACTGTGGGCTTCTTGAGGTATTCTACGATTTTGTGACTGACGGGTTGAAAATAACAGGGGTAGAGGATTGGAAACATGAAAAAGGCAACCAAGATTTTGACAAATTGTACCTTCTTACCTTCTTCAAATTCTCTCAAATACACAAGGTGATTTGCAACTGTTCATCTTCTTCCTTACCTCAACAATGGCAGATTCCTCATCTGTTCAAGATCAAACTGCTTCGTCCTCATTGCTCGTGATCAAACCCAATCAGAACATGATCATTCAACTGAACCCCTTTCTGTATGATTCGTACATGCTCCAGGTGGTTGAATGCCTCAAATACTCTCCTCTGGTTATCGCACTCACACAAGTTGAATCTGTCCCAATGTCTCTTCTATCCTAAGTCTATTCTACTGCAACCTATGACAAGAACAAGGAGAGGATCTACTTTCAAATCTTCTCGCACAAGGCATTAATTTCGAAAGGGCGATTCTGTTCCCTGTTAAAGCTTGTCGTCGATGCCTCTGTTATCTCTCCCGATTTCGTCACTACAACCCAACTGTTTACGATGCTTTACGAGATGGGATACACTGATGTTCTTACCACCGTGACGAAGATTAAGAAATCGTGTTTGCCGCCACAATGGAATGGATTGCTTACTCTTCTCAACAAGGGTTTAGCGGAGAGGGTTGCTGGGTCAGATGGTACCAGTAAGGGTTTTCTGACCATTCTCTATGGTCTCTACAATGGAATTAATCTCGATTACGGGTCGATCATTTGGTCGCAATTGGTACAAAGTCTCAACACTTCGACGAGACATTTTGAGATTTCTTGTGGACGTTTCTGGACCATCGTCACGCGCAGGGCCATTGATACTTTGCAGATTCCAGTCATGAATGATGCATTGGTCTCTTCTGTGGCTACTTTTCATACGAAAAAGATCATCTTCTCCGATGCCACCAAGTTCTCCCACAATGGTTCAATACCTGAGACGATGTACAGGTGTGTGTCAGCCGAAAGTAAAATGATGGCCGACTACTGAAAGCTTCCTCCTAAAGGACCAAGAGAACTGACTCCTGAACAGCAAGCTGCTTTAGAAGCTGTGGAGAAGCCAGCCAACCGAGGCAAAAAGGCAAATACCAAGAAAGTGACAACCGAAGGTCCTTCGTCTAAAGCTGCCAAGTCTAAAAAGCGAAAGGCTGATAAGGGTGATTCTTCGGCTACAAAGAAGTTTAAAAAATGGCAAAGAAATCAAACAGTCCTTCTCCTTCAAGCTCAGACAATGATGAGGAGCGATCGACAGATGAAGAAGAGGAAGTTCAGCATCATGGTTCACCGAGAGGTAATACACCTCCTCGTTCTTGAACTCCAACTGAACTACTTAATGACAAGATTCCAACACCTCCTCCATCTCCACTGAAAACCACTGTTCCAGTTTCGGTTACTTCTATTCCACCACCACCACCAGTTAGTACCATACCAATCTCTACAACTCCTTTACCACCTCCTATCTTTTCACAAGCAACTACCACAACTACTCCCACCACCACAACAACCGAACCTCCAGTAAACGTCAACGTATCTAATACGGGGGCTAATACTGAAACCGAACCTCCGGTTACTTCCAAACCTCTTTCACCCTCACCCTCAACCGATTCTGGTGATACTCTCGGTGGTGATAATGTTGAGTTTGACTTGACTTATTACAGTCCTTATCGGCTTCCAACAGACGAAGATGAAGAGGCTCCTGTCACCAGA